TTCACTGCATCTGCCAGAGCCCCACTGGCCCCAAGCACCACACAGTGTCGGTGCACCCCCTAAGAGGTTAGCTTCAGCTTGGCCCTTTATTTTTATTCTCAGGCTATCCATTAGCAAGCTTTAACTCATGCTTTATGAACTGACCCTCCATTAGGGAAATTTGCATTCCATCACATTCAAATCTTCCATTAATATCACAAAGCAGAGCAGAAGTGGGATATGAAATGACTACTGAGAGGGACAGAAAAGAGGTAAGGGGGTGTTGAATGTAAGGAACAATCTGTGGTCTAGCAAAAATAAGTGCTGGCCAGAGAGTATGGTGTACTTTATCTGCGTGCGTCTGTGAAATTATTTGTCAGAGTGTATGAGAACTGGGCGCCCATTAGTTAGGAGCATGAACAAGCTTTTAAATCTGTGCCACATGCATTACTGATTCTCAAGTGGCTAAAAGCACAGATCCCACAGTTTAATATATTAAGAGTGTCATTTCTCCCAACTCAAAAATTTGTCAGCTGCAATTTCCTCTCATAAGCTGGTCTTGGACATGCACACAGCAAGTCTTTGTCTCTCAAAAAGGTATTGTTAAGCTTTTAAATAAACTGTTACTTTACCTACAGTATCATAGTGTAATTTCAGTTTTTGCACATAAATAAAAACCATATTTCAAAGGACAGCAGAGATCCTTTCAGAAAGAAAATCTTATATTTCACGCCGTATTTTGCATTGAGAAAAGTGCCCACAAGAAAATCATGCTCAGGTTCAGTCATCTGAATAATCATTAAAGAGTATTGCAGCTCCAGTAGTTTCTGTCACTTGAAGCTTACCTTCTGCAGCAGCTGAGAGCCAGAATACTTTGCTGAGATGGACTTCATCTCCCCACCAAAAGCTGAAGCCCACAGCTTCACCCTGCAGATAGCGCGCACGCACACACAGACAGACAAGCAGACACCATTAAAATAAATATGAACAACTTAAAGCAGTTAATGTGCTGACTTAAAAACCCCTGAACAGCCTGATTTGGGGTTGATTTTGCAGTAGCATTAATGTATAGCCCAGCATTTTTTTCCAGTTTCTACTTGTATTGTAATAAAAAAGAAACGTGGAAGAGAATTAAAGACAAGTGGACAATATGCAGTCAGGTTTTTTGTTGACTCATACAACAAGAATATTTTAATGAAGTTCTGGTTTCAAACTTGGAAAATCAAGTGATGCTCGCCACTCTTGATAAAAGGGCATCTACTTACACGGACGGAGGGATGCTTTGGTACGTGCCTTCCACCTTAGCGGCCCTGGTGCTCAGAGTTGACAAAAGTAATAGCAGACACGCACACCACGTACTGAAAACCACATAGCTGCGATCCACCTGCATCTTGGGAAAAAATACCCTCCTTACGCGCACAGTGCGAGTTTGGGACTTAGGCTGCCACTGTGATTTCCCCCCTCCGTTAGACAAACCCAAAACGAAAAGAAAAGGGGGAAATAATAAAGTCAAAAGTCACCTATGCTGACTGACCAAACCATTCATGGCAATGTGTTCTGCTGTTCCTGGTGCGGGACGCGGATGAGCGATGCGCCTTGGGAAACCGCAGGATCCACCGTTGTGCGAGTTACCCAAAGTGCCGTGGTGTAGCCCCGCTGACCGGTGCAGTGCACACGGCTCTGCTGCCCGGAGGAAAGTCGAGATCGACTCCTTTGGCAGGAAAACTCCGCGTAGTCGTTCCACCGACCTCACCCACTGAGAGCGCAGAGTCGAGGTTCACGGGGAACCGGGGAGATCATCAAACGATGCAGCGTAGCCTACAAGAGCACGCCTACTCTTCTTGAGTGATGTGAATAGCCTCCTCTCTCACACTCACACACACACACTTTCTCTCCTGTTTCCACTCAGAGTCTGAGGATAGTGGTGGGGATGCTGTTACTGTTGTTACTGAATTACGCCATACTTTTGACCCCTCTCTCTCTCCTCCCTCCCTCTCTCCCTCCCTCTCTGTCTCCCATTCTCCCTATCTCTCACCCATTCTCGACCCCCCCCCCAATAATAGCTAGCCTTTAGCTTTCATGTCACATCACGTCATGCACTGTATGCCCAGGAATTACTGCTCAAGTGCTGAGGAAGGACTTACACGGAGAGGAAAAGTGAAAGTGTGCGTGTAAAAAGACAGAGGAAAGTGTGGGTGTCCAGCCTTTGATGGAAGCACCAGAAGGTAAGTCAGTTATGCTGAATAAAAGCATGTCAATTAAATGCACTTTGCAGCAGTGATGTGCCACTGGCACCATGTGGGCTGAGAAGGGGGATGAGAGCAGCCAGGCGACGGACACGGATCACGTTTCACACAGGAGCTGGAAGGATTCTGGCAGAGCACTGGAGATGGGATGAGCACTGACAGAATAGCGCATCACTGTCGTGTTGATTATAGGCCTGCCCTGTTTTACACTAGAAGACTCATCTTTGACATAAGTAGGTCAAACGTGAAACAGCTGGTCTGGATTAGTTAACCCAACAAAGCAACTGGTTCAGCATCACATTTAGTAGACCTTTCTAATAATAACTTTTAAAATGTACATACATTAATCAAATTAAGGCAAAAGAAATTATCAGTGGTACATTTAAACTAGCTAGTCATATAGATAGATGGGACATTAAAATGCACCCAGGTAAAAGACGAAATCAAATTAACTTTAATTTTAATTGCCTGGTTTTTGCAAAACAGTTATTGCTCTTATGTGTACTGCTTTTCCCTACGGTGGCAGGTGCTTTGATGGCACTGGAACAGCTCCCAGGTTTCCAAACCAACAAGCCTGGACTGTTCTAATGAGACTATAATGAAGATGAGACTATAATGAAGTCAGCTTGGGCTGGAACAGTGCAAACAGTGTGGAAAAGCAGATGTCTGAGTAGCAGGCCGTAAAAGTACATCTGATTTGTTTTATTTATAAAACAGTGTTGATTATTAGCAGTTGCTGCATTTTTATGTTTCACTGTTACAAGCATACTCCTCATCTTGTCAAAAATGTTCATTTCATAATTATAAATATACACAATCTTAGCACTGTGCATTAGTAATCTATGGTTAACATAATAGCAAATACTTTAATTTACTATAAATACATACAGTATATGCAGTTATTTAGTTCATCTAGGAAATTTAGGTGTGACTGCAAGAAAACTATAGCATGACACTAATGGCATGATGGTAGCAGAAAATCACTCAACATTTAATATACAGTATGTCGCTTTGTGAGGCTCAAACCGCTAAATTCAAAGGAACAGAACACTGACTTTACAAATGTAGGCCAGTTTACACGTTATGGGGAGTAAGGCTCAACCTCTGTAAACGGTGTGCCATCTGAAGCTCTAGAGGGAGTTTGATGGCTAGGAGGACACAAATCGATAACAAAACCTGGGCATTCACCAGACACGAAGGCTCTAGCGAATAACATTATCCCACTGCATTATGGGTAAAGTAGGATCCAGTGGTTTGGGCATTTTAAAGTCAGGATGTTTTTGCCTCTGCTGCTTCAGTTTTGAATCTTTTGTGTCTTTCAAGTGCCTGCCAGTTAAACTGTTGGAATACCCCACTGGAAAGTGAATTTTTGATTTTCTCATATTTTTTTCCAGTATTCTCAATAAAAATGCTTTATACGTGCTCTGCAGTGTTTTCATATGTGCATATTGCTCTGTAGTGCTAGATTTTAATGCTTTAAAGTTTAAAGGATAAGGCTGGTCATTTTCTAAGAGCATTTTAAACACTCCCCATATATCAACACTGAATTGCTAAATCATCATTGTTGTTCAGAAATAATTAAAAACATGAGGGAAACTCACCACTGCACTGGATGACATGTTTGCCCATTATGACACGCAAAACTAATATTGGTTAAGAATATCCAGAGACCTCATGTAAGGACCCTCGACTCTTGCTAACTTCAGACACTGTAAAAAGTTATGGCAGTCAGGAGCCACTGGGGCAACATTTAAAAAAATATATATGTCAGGGTCTGTCACTAAGTGCAGCAGTGTGCTTCTCTTATGTGTTTTTAATTGTTTTTGAACATCAGTGGAGGTCTATGGCGCAGACATACTGATCCAGGACTGACAGACATTAATCATTGTTGGTTTTATTCTCTGTATAGCAAGTGTGGAAAATCCTGTTAATGGCTCAATAGCCATCATGTGACTGGTAACTGACCAATGGCCATTGAGCTATCAGAACTTCTAAAACATACACCTGCTACAGATCATGAGACGAACAAGTCTGAAGCAGCTTTAATAGACATCCCCGGTGTGCCTTGGAACTTTACATTTGTGACATTTAAGTATTAGTAGTTTACTGTGAGCAGGACTATCACTGAGCAAAGCAGGTCCATTTTATTTCAGCACTTTGAAGTCTGAATAATAGCAGCTGCAGTAAGAGGAGTGAATGGGCAAGTAAAAAAAAACAGCATGACATAAGGAACAAAAAAAAATATCAGTGAAGTCTTAAGTATCAGGACTGCAGGGTGACATGGATCGTTTCTTGTTTTCATAGGATTGTACAGTATTTGTTACATTCATCCTGGTCCTTCTGCTGTTGTACCAGATCTCTTTCACTAATCCTCTTTTTTAATGACAAGCAAATGTTTCCTATGCTGAGTATTGCAGTGCTTTCACACAAAAGGCAGGTCTAAGTGGTGGTTTTAAATGTCATTATTAAACAGTATAAAATATAAAAGTATTAGCTCATGCTCATCTGCACTAATCTGACTGAAAATTTTTTTTTAAAGCCTATGTTGTATATTTGACTTTCTGAATTTAAGTTGCACAAATGCTAAAAAGGCTCTAAAGTAAACATAAGTCAGATGTATGAGGCTAAAGTCTGGAATAGCAAGAGACTCGAAACCAATACAGAGCACGCAGTTGCCACGCGGATGAGGTTGTTAATATAGTGTGCAAAACATAAAATGATTACCTATTACATTTGACTGAAATCCTTCTATAAATCCATTATTTTGTTTGTCAGTTTGTTCATAGATAAAGCCCTGCACACCTACTCGCTTTGTGCAAAAAAAAAAAAAAAATGTGGAGGAGAATCAGTCATGGGTAACGTCAGAGGAAAATACATCAAAGCCTAATGACCCGGTCTTCCTTTCCTTCTTCACACACCCACGACCTCTCTTGTTTCTCCTCTAACCCTCCATTTCCTCAGTTCCGAATGCTGTAATCACACCTGATTTTGGAGAGCAGAGTGTATCTACGCTAGTAATAACCAGGCTGTACCTGGCAATACATTGAAGAAGAAAAAAAAAATTCTGATTTATGTCTCTAATGTTTTTAATGTTTAACTTGTTTCTGCATCCAGCAGCGATGGCTCTCAATTCCTGTATAAAATCTGCAGCTTTACATATGACATGTGATGCTAAATTCTTGTATCTTATGCTATTTATGACTACATCATTTTATTAAAAGACAATTCAGGACATATAGAGCTGATTTTGTCTTAACTTTTTAGTTCAAATATTGTTTTTACAGCTTTTGAATTGACCTTGTAAAGCCCTCCAAAACAAGTTGCATATATACTGAATGAAACAAGCAAGAAGTTATGAGAAGTTATGGCAGTGTATTTATCATTTATAAACATTTTACTAAATAAATATGTATTGCTGCTGTGAATACAGAAGATGTGTGTTCACTCATATGTTCACCAATCGTCTGTTGAATGACTGGGAGAAGTGACCTTTATGTAGGCTACTGTGTTTGTGTTGCTCCTAAAGTTTTTACAGACTTGGTAAACTGAGCTGCCATTAATGTCACTGAAAATGATCAAATGTTCCAAGCCAAGCTGGAAATGTCTCAAACAGCCCCCCCACAGCTATTATACAAACTACTGTACATGGGTCTATGACCTGTTTGAGAGCTTTATCCATCCCAGGTTGACGTCGCAGCTACCAGCTATGGTCATCAGTACATGGCTGCTCGTGTTTCATCTCACAGGTCTAACAACAATCCCCACTTCATATCTAGTCTACTTTTTGTATTAAATCATAGAACATGGTTATATTTTGAGCCTTTGCTGAGCCAAAGCATCTCTGGCCAGTTTGTATTTACAGTAACCACAGAAGGTGGGAGGCAGCAGCCTCTGTGTACATGTGAGCTTCAATGTTATCCATACAAACAGTCCCATTAGTGGCTGAGAATTTCAAAGCACACTATTAATGCAATTAATACTGAAACATCATCAGCACAGGCAGAGAAACAGACACTGCCTGTGTAATAAGAATTGTCGTGAATCAAACTATCCAATACATGCAAGAATCATGCGTTTGGAAAACAAGGATAAAGAGTCACGTTATGACAAACAGCAGGGGGTTGTATGAGTTTGAGGTGAGCTTTTTGCCTGGTGTGTCATCTGTGAAATCGGGACAGGGAAAATGAATGATTACTGGGCTTTCCTCCCCTTACAGTGTCACTGGATTAGACAGCTGATCTCTAATGTTACCACAGGATGAAGGTTGAAGCAGAAGGAAGGTGAATGAAGACTCCTGGAAGCAGCAGCAGTAGCTGTCACTATACAGGACACCAAGATGAATAGAGGATTAAAATGCTGAGAGATTTCTTGGATTCTTAAGAGACTCCTCTGGTGCTGGTGAAAAGTAGCTTAATTTTCAAGACTGGTGTCTTGTATGCAAAAAATTGCTGTGGATGTTTAGGTGCCAGTTTAGCACATGTAGAAAAAGTGAGAGGTTTTCC